AATCCAGAGAAAAGTAAACACTAAACTCTATAAAGTATTGAGGTTTCTGTTGCCTTTAAAGAGCAACAATAAGTATATCTACTAGGAGGCTTGTACTTAACCTAAAAATCCATGAGGCTTTTATGTTATCTTCCATAATACAGCTCTACTAGAGGCCTGGTGCATGAGATTCGTGCACTGGGGGTGAGGAGGGGTGATGTGTGTGTGTCCCTCAGTCCGGCCTGTGCCCGGCTGGGGGGGATCAGGTCTAAGCTGGCAGTCAGACATCCCTCTCGCAGTCCAGGACACCTCGCTCCTTACTGCCCGCCTACAGAGGAGGCAGGAGAGGCTCCTGCCACCACCACTGTGCTTGCCAGCCGTGAGCCCGTCTTGCTGCTCCTTAGCGCTGCCTTGGAGATGTGAGAGGCTCCCACCACTACTGCTGGATTTGCCAGCCATGAGCCCGGCTTCTGGCTGAGCGGAGCTCCCCCAGTGGGAAGTCAGTACGCATCATAGCAACCCGTAGTTCCGCAGTTTGGTCGATTTGCATATTACACTTTTATTATATAGGATTTGTTTAAACTAAAAACAATTTTCCCCCCCAACTCCTGGTAAAAATGACATATTATGTTATTTAATCTCATAACTTCTAACACCTCGGAGCACACAACCAGACCAGATGGCATTACTTTTAGACTGTCTTACAGGAGATAAGTAATAAAGAAAGAAAATGGGTGATAAGGAGAGAAAGGGAGTGGAGATTTTGTAAGGAGGCCTGGGGAAAGAGAACTAACAAGAAGGAAGAGGAATGCTAGCCCTGGAAGTGAAGTCTGGTGGTGCCTGCGAGGCAGGAGGGAGCTGAGGCATGTGTAAGGGTTGCCAACAAAGCAGAACCTGGAGAAAGGCTGAACCTGGAGGGAGAAAAGCTTTAGAATCAGAAAGTCACTAAAGATACAAAGGAGAACTATATGGGGAACAAAGTAAAACAAAAACCACTGGCTTACACCATGACAAAACCAGTTTTCAAGCATATTCTTGAAAGAGCAGGAAAGAAGATTCTAATAAAATGGTAATAAGCAAAAAACAGTTAATGAAAATCACTAATATAGTACCCATCATTAAAAATAGAAAATGCATAGAATGGCACAATAGTACCTTTATCTAGTGAGTTATCTTCTTAAAGGTTTTATTTTAGTGAAACTGAACAGTATGTATATGGACTGACATGCTCAGTCAGCATCCACCCCCACCTACTTTTACTGTATTGTATTCCTTTACTGTAAAGACTGAAAGGGGAACAACTACATTTTCCACTCTTTTGCAGCTAGAATATGGATGAAAATTGGTTTCTTGCAATTAGACACTATTACAACAGATTTGGAAGGCAGATATGAGGCAGAAGACATCTTTCTTTTCCTTCTGCTTTTCTTTTCTTTTTTTTTTTTTTAAAATATATATTTTATTGATTTTTTTACAGAGAGGAAGGGAGAGAGATAGAGAGTCAGAAACATCGATGAGAGAGAAACATCGATCAGCTGCATCCTGCACATCTCCCACTGGGAATGTGCCCACAACCAAGGTACATGCCCTTGACCGGAATCAAACCTGGGACCCTTCAGTCCGCAGGCCGACGCTCAATCCACTGAGCCAAACCGGTTTCGGCCTTCTGCTTTTCTTATTAGCAAGGGTGACATTGAATTTTCTGTTCCAGGGTTTGGTTGCTGGGTGCTCAGAGTCCCTGTGGTAATAGTGATGATGAGTTTTGGCATACTATTCTGAACTTAAAAGATCTAGTGGTTAAGCTTTGCCTAAAACCCACTCCTCTAGCTATTCCAATGACTTGAAGTACCTTAAAATTCTATATTGTACACTTATTGTCTAAAATGTCTGGAGTAAGTTTCCTATAACTGGACTCTCCCTGACATAGCTTTCATACCTCCCCCCAAGTTCCTTAGAGATTTCAAGCTACTCAACTAATTCCTTTTAATGAAATGTCATAAATCTTCACAGCTAGGGAAAGATAACCTGCCTCTATACTGGCAGTTCCCACAGTAGTCTGTTATGATCTTTGTGTCTGTGCTTCCCTTACCAGAGTGAGAGCTCCCAGATTGCAGAGTAGGCCCAAGGCCCTTATTAAAGGTCTAAAGATTTCCACTGCTCTTTGTCTATAGATGGTTGCCAGGGTTGGAAGAGAGAAACTACCTTGTCTGCTTGTAGTGCATACCAGCAGAAGACAGCAACATCTGCTCAGGAAAATTCTGAGAGATATCAGCAGAGAGGACCAATTGCAATTCTGAGAGGCATGACTTCTAGGTTCTGCTGTACTCTGAAGACAATCTTAGCAATGATCTTGTATGATGATCACATTTTACAGTTCAGGAAAAGAGAAATGGCTTTGCCCAAAGCAACCAAGTTAATGGCTCAGCTATAGCCAGAACTCCATCTTCTTTTTTAAAAAAAATTTCTTAACATATATTTTTATTATTTCAGAGAAGGGAGTGGAGAGATGAATAGAAACATCAATGATGAGAGAGAATCATTGATTGGCTGCCTCCTGCACACCCCCTACTGGGGATCAAGCCTGCAACCTGGGCATGTGCCCCTGACCGCAATCGAACCTAGGACCCTTTAGTCCACAGGCTGACACTCTATCTGCTGTGCCAAACCAGCTAGGGCAGAACTCCATCTTCTGATTCTCATTCCAGAACTCTTTCTATTACATCATAATTTGGAAGGCACATTTCAGAGGGATGATGGGCAGGGCTGTATTCTCAGGGATCAGCACAGTGCCTGACATATAAATGTTGTGGGGGGAAGGACTACACAGGTTTATCACTGCATGGGTAGGAATCGGGATCCAAGAGAGATGTCTGAAAGTTAGATGCCCACTCTGATGCTTATTCTGACCTGGCTAACAGAAATAGGTCAAATAACAAGTGACTTAACTCATGCCAGAAATGAGAGGTGTTAAGTATCATATTCACAAATAAGAGGGCATTACGTTTGCTTAGCTACATCATGAAGATCAAGGAATTTCTGGAATACAGAAATAACATACAGTACTTGTACCCAAGTAACAAACAGTCTAGTGGAGAGACACATTTACATTTTCAGTATCCTATATAATAAAAGCCTAATATGCTAAGTGTCCAGTCAACCAGTCAGCCATTCAACCATTCAAAGTGTAATATGCTAATGATATGCTAAGGCCGCTCAACCGCTTGCTATGATGAGCACTGATCACCAGGGGGCAGACAGTCAACCGGTTTCTATGGCGTGCACTGACCACCAGGGGGCAGACACCCTGACTGGTAGGTTAGCTTGCTGCTGGGGTCCGGCCAATCGGGACTGAGCGAGAAGGGCTAGACATGCCCTGGAGCCCTCTCACAGTCCCTACCTGGCTGGCCAACATCCCGTGTCTCTCCCTGGCCACGATCGTACACCGGTGGGATCCCTTGGCCTGGCCTGCACCCTCTCACAACCCGGGACCCCTTGGGGAATGTTGGAGAGCCGGTTTCAGCCTGATTTCGCAGGCCAGGCTGAGGGACCCCACTGGTGCATGAATTCGTGCACCAGGCCAAATATAAAAGAGAATGAAAATGACCTACTTCATGTAGTTGTTAGGAAAATAATCATGATAAAGTACTTTCTTAATTGTACAGCACTATACAAAATAAATTACTTTTAACTTATTAGAAAAGCGAGGAACGTCACTCTAACTTTCCAACATGGATCTGGTCAAGAAAAACAGAATAAGATTTTGCTGGCTTACATTTGGGATCACTCTTCATCCCAGAACCCCTGTTGAAAATCACTGAGTTAGAGACTAATAAAAGTAAGATGTGTAATTATTTTCCTATCCAAGTTCACCAACCCTGATTTTTATCCTGGCTCCCTTGGGGGTTTTATGAATCCAGTGTTAAAAACCTTGGCCTGCCCTGGCTTGTGTCACTCAGTGGTAGAGCACTGAAGGGTCGAAAGTTCAATTCCTGGTCAAGGGTATTTCCCTGGGTTGCAGGTTTGTTCCCTAGTCCCAGTAGGGATATCTTGGGGAGGCAACCAATTGATGTCTTTCTCTCTCTCTCTCACCCTCCCTCCTGTCCACTCTCTCTAAAAATCAATGGAGCCCTAGTGGATACTCAGTGGATAGAGTGTCGGCCTGCAGACTGAAGGGTCCCAGGTTTGATTCCAGTCAAGGGCACATGCCTGGGTTGAGGGCTCGATCCTCAGTAGGGGGGTATGGAGGAGGCAGCCGATCAATGATTCTCTCTCATCACTGATGTTTCTATCTACTCCTTTCCCTTCCTCTTTGGGATCAATAAAAATATATTTTAAAAAAATCAATGGAAAAATATCCTCAGGTGAGGATTAACAAAACCAAAAACCAAACAAAACAAAACCAAAAAAAAGTCTTGCCCTCGGTGTACAGTGAAGGCCTGAGTTGGTAGCAATGGAAAAGAAGGAAGAGATCTAAGAGAAAAATTAAGTCAGAGAACAATTTAATGAATCTTATAATTTGATGGTAACTAAGGAAAAGTGTTTAAGCTGATACTCAGGTTTCTGGACTGGGACATTTATGATATGCAAAATTAGGATAACTGACAAGGTCCACTTACATTTGGAAAGGCTTTCAGGTTGCTTAAGCTTTAGGCTTGAAAAATATAATAATTATTGATTAAGATGGTTAACAGTTCTTGCAGATGCTGCCATGATTTGAAAGATCTGTGAAGATATGACCACAGCCTGAGGAATAAGATACATGTTTCTGGATAAGTGAGTAGAGCATACCTTTCAAGCTTAAGTGCATTGCTCTTTCTACCAGGATGCTGACTGCAAAAGTTCCATCCAATTCAGCAGGACCCTCCTGGGCTGGGCAGACTTCAGCTGTGGTGCTGTTGCAGGGAACCTGGGTGCAGGTGGGAGGCTTCTGGTGGTCAGGTGGTACCGAGAGTTGGATCTCATCCTTCCTTCTGGGGAGTTGCTCAGACTCACTGTGGCTGCTGCAGTCCATAGAGTCCAGCTCATGAGTGGGCCCAGGGTATGGGGGGAGAGAGGAAAGACACATGAACTCGCAAGGCAGCTCCTGAGAGATTGGAAGCGTTTCGTCCAAATAGAGGATACACACCTGCAAAAGAATACAGGAGAATAAGCCTAAGCAAGCAGGAATCAATGACCGTGGAAGAGATGCTCAAAGAGGGTGCTGGTGGTCCCTCTTTCCTTTTGTAGATGTACAGGCCCCAACATACCAATTTGCAAAAAAACCTGTGAAGTTACTATACATTGTGAAAATTTTTAACTCCCCCAACACTCCCCATCCCCCTTGTCACGCACTATCTCCAATAATGGAAAGTAGTGAAGAGCTTAGATTTGAAGCCAAAGCCAAATGACTATAGGCAGAGCTGTTGTGGAAGGGATTCATGTGCTGAGGGGCAACTAGGCTTTGATGACTTCTGAAGCCACTTACAAGTCCAAGATTTTTATGAAATCAGGAGTGGCCTGTCTTCTTTTCCACATGTCCCACTAACTCTTGTCCTTAGGGCTTTTCTCATCAGGAAGCTGCCCTGATACTCAATTTAGCCTGTTTCACTAACTAAATACGTTTTGGCAGTAGACCTGGAGACCATTTGGAAGGGAAGTAGGAGGCAGTGGCAGAGGAGGCAAGAAAGTAAGAAATTAGTATTTGCTGACTGTTCATTCGTGTGCCAGAATCTCAGAGGGGTTAAGTACCCTGCAAAGATGACTTTTTCAATAAGTGGCAGATTTAAATTCAGGGATATGAGCTTTATTGGCTTGCTGGATACTCAATGAGATTTTATTTATAAAGCATAAGGCACTAATATTTCTTTCAGAAGCCCAAAGTTTGCTTTAGTAGACTCATTTCAATTCAGGAAAATACAGTTAACTGATTTACAGATAGCATAAGATGGAACCTTTCCTGTCTTTTTCTATTTTTAGGTAGGGAAATAACAACCTTACATATATATGAGATGGATAAATATCATGTTTGTAAAAAATCTAGTCTGGCCATCTCCATTTATTATGCACTATAGTTGCTAGACTTATTTTTTCTAGCATGCAAAGCTATGTCACTCTTCTATACAGAACCCATTATAGTTTTCCATAACTCGCCAAACTCTTCTGCTTAGAAGAGGCCTTCAACATCATATTCTTGTCCACCTCTCTAGTTTCATCTCCCATCATTTCCCAACCTGTGTATCCTATGATTCAGCAGCACCAAATTATGTATAGTGCCTAAAATGTATCAAACTGCTTCAGGCCTCTGTGTCTCCACACACACCCTTTTAAAACACCCTTGTTTCCCACTTTTCTTGGCTTATTCCTAAATTCTTTGAAACTTGGGCCTTTTTCCCTGAGATGTTGTTCTTGAACTAAAAAGATGCTGAACCCCTGTGCTCCCTTAGCACCACGGAGAAAACCTTCTTCATAGTTTGTATGCTTCACTGTAATTGTGTATTTACTACTCTATTGAGGTCAGCATTATCTCCTACTCATCTGAGTTCCCAGGGCCAAGTACATGTATCATGTATTGAACAATGTTTGAAAGGAAAGTACCCAGCACATAACGCCACTTGTAAAATGTTACCTTTTCCCTTTCTGCCTGTGAACCAATGTACTATATTGATTTTCTTTATGATTTCAAAATCTGCTGACCAGAGAGAAAGGATATCCTAGTTTCATTAGCAGGTATGCTTTTCAGTCTATTTAAAAAACTAGGATTCTAGATTATCATATAAGTTCTTACACAAGTGATTGATTACAGGTAGTCCCCTAAATGTACTCATTACATCATACATATTAACTGAGTGCTTACAATGTTGTGGGCAGTACGTTAGGTGCAAAAATCTGATACATTTGGATGTACTCTAAAATTACTAAGTTCAGAGCCAGTTCTTAGAGCTGTGGTGATTCAACGAAGGTAGATTGTCAGGAGATAATGCTCTTTTTAAAGCAGCCAGCAAACCTCTTTTTGGAATCTCTTTAGTTATGAGAAACATCACTAAGTTACTATTAATCTTCAGCACACAATAATGGAAAGAACATTTCCTATGATCCTGGGCAGTTACCCAACCTCTGTGAGCCTCCATTTTCATGACTATAAAATGGGTCTAATACCTACCTCACAGGATTGCTGGACCAAATAAAATGTCTGAGAGGGTATGTCCCATAGTGCTTGTCATAGAGCAGGTGCTCAGACCACAAGAGCTGAGGCTGGTTCTTAACTTACCACTGACAGTTAGTGTCCGTGCTGTCCTCTCCCCAAGTCTGGACAGGTCCACAAAGGCTGAGCCAATCCAGCTGTCCGTATTGTGGGGCCTCTCCACATTTTCATTGCCATAAGCCCGCCACACTTGGATCTCTAATCTCTCCTCCCTGAAGTACCAAAGCAGTGACGGGCCCCTAAAGATTTCTGCTTTTTTGGATGCCTTAAAAGTAACTATGACCTGCTTTTGGTTTGTAGATTCCTTAGGTTTCTTGAGAGGAGTCCAAAAGCATTCATGATCATACAGCTTGTAGCGGAGGTAGCAATATGTGCTCTTATGAATGTGCTTCTGCCCAGCAAGCAGCACGCAATGGAGGGGCAGCCAGAGCCTTGGTGTGGAGATGGTGATAGTGGCTGGCTCCTCCTCATCCATCTTGACAAGATCCTTCAGGTTATTCTCAAAGCTCCAGCCCAATAGTTCAGCAGCTTCCAACACCCGTTCTCTGTCTCCAGGATGGGTGAAGGAAACTGAAAGCTCCAGACCACCCACAATCTTCTGCATGAGCTCCAAGCCATGAGGCATGGCCCCATCTTCTGGTAAAAGAATAGGATACCATCCTGTGATCCCTTATGGGAGAAAACATTTTCAATTATTGTCTTAAAAGTACAAAGACTTACCCATTATCCACCCCAGAGCCACCTTCACCCTAGCCCCGTGGTCGGCAAACTGTGGCTCTTTGGCCCCTTGAGTGTGGCTCTTCCTAAGCCTTAGGAGTACCCTCATTAAATTAGTAACAATGTACCTACCTATATAGTTTAAGTTTAAAAAATTTGGCTCTCAAAAGAAATTTCAATCGTTGTACTGTTGATATTTGGCTCTGTTGACTAATGAGTTTGCTGACCACTGCCCTAGCCCAAGATAGAACAGAAAACATATACTGAACAGTGCATTGTAGTTTGTTTCATCTGACCACTGAAAGGCAATGAGAACAGGTTGAAGACCAAAGTCTAGGAGTTGAAAGATCTAAATTCTCTCCTTGGCTCAGCCCAAAACTAGTGGTCAATCTTGGTAAGCCATTAATTTCTCTCAGCGTTGTTTTCCTTACCTGACAAATGGGAAAATTACTGCTGATCTTGCCTACCAGACAAAGTTGTTATGATTATTAAATGATAATGGTTTTAGAAAAGCTTTCAAAGAAAAGTACTACACAAGACCTGAAATGTTATTATGATGTTACTAGACGCTCGGTGCATGAAATTCATGCATGAGTAGGGTTCTTAGGCTGGCCAGCAATCAGGGCCGATGGGGGCCTTCTGGCTGCCAGCCGGGGCCTTCCTTCATTCCACGCCGCTCCCTGGTGGTCAGCGTACATCATAGCGAGTGGTTGAACTCCTGATTGGTTGAACTCCTGAGGGGGCAATTTGCATATCAGCCTTTTATTATATAGGCTATAGGATAATATAATGAAAAAGGCAAGGGACAAGCAATCAGGAGATTTGGGGTCTAGTTCCAGGGAACTGCCACTTAGTGAACATATACCAAGGACCAGGAATTAGATTTCAAAATAATAACAGCTTCTCTATTGAGTAATTACTATGTGTTAGAAATTCCCCTAGTTTTATATATATATTACTTCATTTCATTCTCCTGATAACCCTGTGAAATTCTGAGGATTAACTGGGATAAGAATCCCTATTTTGTAGAAGAAAAAATGAAAACCCAGAGACCTGACCAAGTTGTTATAGCTACCAAGTGGTAGAGCTAGTATTTGAACCCCGGTCTAACTGGTTCCAGTCTACATTCCACCTACTATAGGTTTACAATATCTTATCTGAAACCCTTAAGGCCAGATTTGTTTCTGAATTTAGAATTTTTCATATTTTAGAAGATAATATAGTACATAAACAAAATATTATGTAATGGTCACTGGTCATGTAAGTCAGGGTTGGTAAACTTATTTTGCAAAAAACCAGACTAAATATTTTAGACTTTGGGTCATATGGTCTGTTTCAACTGCTCAGCTACCTTGTTGTTGTGTAAAGTGGCCATACACAATATGTAAATATTGGGCATTATGTGTTCTAATAAAACTTCATATAATCAGGCAGCTGCGTAAGTCATAAATAAAGACTAGTCTGTCAGTTGAGGCCAGATTTGCAGTTTAATGAGTTAATAAAAAACTTGATTTCAAAGCTTCTTGGATTTCACAATTATATAAAACAGACTGTGGATTGGTATAATAATATTCACAACAATTTTATGAGAAAGGTTTCATTAATTATACTTTATAGATGAGAAAGTTTAGACTTATTGAAATTAATTTGCCAAAGATCACTTATGGCTTTGTGACTTTTGGAAAAGGCCTTTAATTTTTCTGAGCCTTCCTAGTTTTCATCCGTACACTGAGGACGCTAAATATGTTGATCTCTAAGACTCCTTTAGGCTTTGTCAGTCTAAGAATTTACGGCCTTAGCTTTAGTACCTTCTCCCTTCTGGTTATTAATTTCCCCACAACCTAGTGGTTCTTAACATTTTTTGGTTACAGATCCTTTTGGCTATTATCCCCAGAAAATCATACAATTGCACATACACACACTCATTTTCACACCATTTCAGCAATTAAAAACTGCTAGATGAGATGGTTCCTGTTGCTCTGTGATTCAATAATTGAGATTATTGGCAGGAGGAAAGAAAATAGAAAGTTCAGTTTAGAATAACTCTGAAAACAAAGACAAAGATATATCCCAAACTGTCTAAAAGGTTTATTTCCAAGGGGTTAAATCTAATTTGTAAATATGAAATTTCCCAGATGGTGCCTATTGCCTGACAAACTCTGTAGTAAGTTTCAGGAGAGAAACTGAGGTTTCCTATGTGCCAAGATCCTTTACATGTATAATTTCATTGACTGGTTCAATAATCTTGCAAAGTTGATCTTATTATTTCTAATTTTCAGATGAGGAAACTATGGATCTGAGAGATAAAGGAACTTTTTCTAGATCACAAACAGTAAGTGACAGAAGTGAGAGTTAAACTCTATTATTAAGTTGTACAGACTTCTCTCTGCCAGGCACACAGTGCCTGCTTATTAGAGTATTGCTCAGGGAGCTGTGTGACAGAATTTTGGAAACTAGATTACATAACTCTAGGGAGGAAAATGGACAAGAGAAGGAAAACATTCACTGAGTGCTTATTATGTGTCAATGTTATCCTATTTAATCAATTCCTACCTACAGACTGTCTCCATCCATGAGCTACGAAAACTGGAGCCCAGAGGACAAGGTCATTTTGCCAAGGTCACCAGGCTAGTAATAAGTAGGATAGGACCACTAATTCCAAACTGCCTTGGTAGTTGTATCTTCACCTCATGTCCTTATTCCTTTTTCACCAAATGAGGTAATTTAGAAAAAAAGAATGGGAAAATCTGAATTGATTTCAGTATTGCCACTCACTAGCTGTGTGGCTTTGCAAATCACCTCTATGAGCCTAACTTTTCTGTCATCTGTCAAATGAAGAGAATAAGATCCTGTATCCCTGCCAGTCTTAAGCAAGATTTAAGAAAGTATTTTACCAAGTGCTATATAATGTAATAGATATCACCATATTTATTATTAGTAGTATCATTATCATTATTTTTCCTAGAGGAAGATGACAGTACAATGTTTTGAGCTTCTTTGCTTTATTAGAAAAACTTTGAAATAATTAGGAGAAGACTTAAAATACCTTTTCTTTTCTTTTTTGTTAATCCTCACCTGAGGATATTGTTTCCTTTGTTGTTTTAGAGAGTTGGAAGGGCAGGAAGGAGGGAGGGAGGAACAGAGGAAAAGAAAGGGAGAGAGAGAGGGATAGGGAGAGAGGGAAGAAGAGAGAGAGAGACATTGATGTGAGAGACACATTGCTTGGTTGCCTCCTGCACATGGCTGGGGACCGAACCTATAACCTGGGTACATGCCCCTGAGCAGGAATCAAACCTGTGACCCTTTGGTATGTAGGCCTATGCTCTAACCACTGGGAAATACCAGCTAGGGTTTAAAATGCTTTTGAAAAAACTTTTGAGGTATCTGGGAGAATTCAGAAGCATGTATTACAGGATCATATTTTCTTTTGCGCATTTTATGGCAGTTAGACAAGATGGTCTCTTACAGGGAAGTGAATGGGAAAGGTAGGATTAAAAAGTGATAATCTAGAGGAGACCAAGATGGCGGCATAGGTAAACACCTGAGATTGCTGCCGCAAACAACCACTTCAAAAATACAACTAAAAGACGGAATGGACATCACCCAGAACCACAGGAAAGCTGGCTGAGGAGAGACTCTTCAACTAGAAGGAAAGAGAACAACATACCGAAGCTCAGAGGAGGCGCAGTGTGGAAAATACAAAGCTGCGGAGGTGCACACGCAAAAGCGGGCTGGTGGCTGAGGGCGCGGTTGTCGTTTTCAATCAGGAGTGAGTCTCAGACTCTGAGCTCCAGATCCGGGCGAGTCTCTAGGGACTTAGACTCAAACGGGAGAAGCAGGATTGTCTGGCATCAGTTGAAATGTGAGGGCAGCTTTCTCTCCGAGATTTGCAGCGGTTGCCGGGGTTCTGAGAAGCAGAGCCTCTGGGAACTGGACTGAGAGCAGCCATAACTGCTCCCTCCGCCCGCCCTGTTGAGCCCGCCCCGCCCAAGCCCAGCGCAGAGCCATTTGCCGGATCACCTCAGGCAAAGGCTAGATTAGCATCTCTCCAGAGGACAGAAGTTTTCCCACAGCTGATTCTCACAGCCAGTCGGCCTGGTGGTCAAATCCCTCTAGTATTAACTACAACAATCAAGGCTCAACTAGAACAAGACTGCGCACAAAGACCACAAGGGGGTGTACCAAGAAAGCATAAAAAATGCGGAGACAAAAAAACATGACAGAAATGGAGGATATAGAGCTAAAAAACGCAATTTTGAGGGCTTGCAATAATGTGCTAGAAGCAGCCAATAAACTTGATGAGAGCCTCACGAAAACTAATGAGACCCTCGATGCTATGATAAAGAACCAACTAGAAATTAAGCATACACGGACTGAAATAAAGAATATTATACAGACTCCCAACAGCAGACCAGAGGAGCGCAAGAATCAAGTCAAAGATTTGAAATGTGAAGAAGCAAAAAACACCCAACCGGAAGAGCAAAATGAAAAAAGAATCCGAAAATACGAAGATAGTGTAAGGAGCCTCTGGGACAGCTTCAAGCGTACAAATATCAGAATTATAGGGGTGCCAGAAGATGAGAGACAGCAAGATATTGAAAACCTATTTGAAGAAATAATGGCAGAAAACTTCCCCCACCTGGTGAAAGAAATGGACTTACAGGTCCAAGAAGCGCAGAGAACCCAAAACAAAAGGAATCCAAAGAGGACCACACCAAGACACATCATAATTAAAATGCCAAGAGCAAAAGACAAAGAGAGAATCTTAAAAGCAGCAAGAGAAAGAGACTCAATTACCTACAAGGGAATACCCATACGACTGTCAGCTGATTTCTCAACAGAAACTTTGCAGGCCAGAAGGGAGTGGCAAGAAATATTCAAAGTGCTGAATACCAAGAACCTACAACCAAGATTACTTTATCCAGCAAAGCTATCATTCAGAATTGAAGGTCAGATAAAGAGCTTCACAGATAAAGAAAAGCTTAAAGGGTTTCATCCCCCCTAACGGATTTTTATCGAAAATGTGGAAGGTTTTCCTTTAGGAGGAGGAGGAGGAGGAAAAAGGTAAAGATACAATTTATGAACAACAACCATGCATCTTTCAACAAGTGAATCTAAGAATCAAGTGAATAATTATTTTGATGTACAGAATGAACTGGTGATTATAATGAATCAGGGCCATAGAAAGGGAATGGACTGACTATTCTTGGGGGGGAAAGGGGAGTGGGAGATGCGGGAAGAGACTGGACAAAAATCGTGCACCTATGGATGAGGACAGTGGGTGGGGAGTGAGGGCGGAGGGTGGGGCGGGAACTGGGAGGAGGGGAGTTATGGGGAAAAAAAAAGAGGAACAAATGTAATCTGAACAATAAAGATTTAATTAAAATAAAAATAAAAAAATAAAAAAAATTCAAGAAGATTGATATCATACCAATCATCTTCTCTTTTAACAATGGCAAAAATTAAAAATCAATGAAATGGATATA